ACCACCAAAAAATTTGATTATTTCAGAGAAATACTTAGGATAACTCAATTTATTTTGAAATCTAGAAAAACAGGAAAACAGCTGTTTTTAAAAATCAAAAACCGAAAACAGACTGTTTTTCAAAAACAGCTGTTTTCCACAAACCCTAATCTTCAATATTATCATAAAACAGATTGCAAGTGGGTTTAAAGTGGGTAAAGTTTGAAGCATGAAATCAAATTATTCCTACTGGGAGTATATTGCTCAAAAAATCAGTCCTTAATATAAAGGATAAACATGATTTTTTACCAAAAGTTTGTAAAAGTTTATCAAAAAATATTGTGCATGATCAAACTTTGTATGAAAATTGATGTAAACCTTGATCGCAAATATCTCGAAAACGGCATCAACAACATGTTTTCAGTTATATGGGAGATAGATTTAAGCTTAATTAATTGATTTATATCGGTTTCAGAGAGGTCTTTGGAAGACTTTTTAACTTATGAATAGTTTAAGTTTTGTAAAAATACTCAGATTTCAATTGCATTTTTAAGACTTAATAAACAGTTTTCTTTTGATTTGGGAGTTTTAATATGCAAATCTAAGCTTAACTTAGCTAGCAAGATAAGGAAGTAACAACTTAAAGTTGAGAAAATCAAAGATTTTTTTTTCAAATACAAAATGTAAACAAATTTTTGTTGAAAATAAATTAAAGATTTCTGGAGTTAGACATCAAATTGAAACGAGATATTTTCACTGAATATGCCCTAAGTTAAGATCTTTAATCTGGCATTTAAAAGATGAAGTTTAATTAATATGTTATTTTTGAATTTTTGAACTTTTTTTTTTCCAAATTTGAATCATTGTGTATTCATGACAATTCGTGAGGAATTTTTATTCGACTTATCCTCAATAAAGTCAAAGTTGTGAAACTGGTCAAAACGACTGATTCATCAGTTCCGTAACCTTGCTATATATGTAGAACTTTCCAATAAAATTTACAATAGGAACCAACAAATTATCTACATTAAAAATTTAAATGCCAAATAATTCTCTTTGTTAAACCGGAAATAATGAAGACCATAAAAAATTTCATTACTTACCATCAAATGCAATTTTGAATTTGAACGAGGGAATTTCCTAAAATTACATGAGAAATAAAGCAGACCTAGAAATATAATAAAATTGCACCACAGAAATGTTTTTATTTTCGCATTTTAGGTATGAAAAAGAATTGCTGCATAAATAAAATTTTCCATGTTCCATCTACTTCAAATTCAATCTCGTTGTGATGTAATGTCGAGTTATTTATCTAACCATATGTGGATTTTTTTTTATGCTGCACAACTTTTTTATGTGAATTTTTTACGAGTCTAGGCTATTCATGAACTTCTTATTTCTCAATATGCAAATTTAAATGCTGAAATGTCAGCAATAATATAGTCAAAAATGATTTAAGCTCTTCAATTTTTTAAAAAATGACTAGACAACTAAACAATGAGTTTTTGAGAAGTTTGGAAAATATTATTTCAATAGATTTATGATGAAAAACTTGGTATTTGTTTTTTAAAAACGCATTTTTATTTCTCTTGATCAGAAAAAAATATTTTTATATTTTTTAATTATTTATCAAGCTTACATCAAAGTCTGGAGTGATTCAGCATCTTTATTGTTTTAAGGACCAACTATAGATCTCTATATAACTGCCGTAATGTGCAAAAAGTCGAATTTCATTGGAATCAAACTTATAACCTCAAAAGAGGTAAGCTAAGACCCAGGGGCGTAGCCAGAAAATTTTTAAGGGGGGGGGGGCCCATTTTCGAAAATTAAAAAACCGTTATTTTGTATCCTTAAATCTATATTCATTCTTCATAAGTTTAAATATTTAATTCATTATTCATACATTAAATTTAATTTTTCGTGCTGATTTTGACATTTCTTTCATCACTTCGTTTACATTAACTGGTTCTTCTCTATAAATACTTAATAAAACAATTTTCAGATTTTCGTAGGGGGGGCCCGGGCCCCCTATGCCCCCCCCCCCCCCCCCCCCCTGGCTACGCCCCTGCTAAGACCACTCAGACGCAAACAACCAGTTTTAACTGCAAGCCTTCTACTTAGAACTATCTACTCTAGATATGCTTTTCGAGTCATATCAAAACCAACCACCCTCTATTCTCCGTCTTAGTGAAATAGACTAAAAATTCAAATTCAAAATATTAGATATTAAGTTCCAGAAAAATCTTTAAAAATAAAATTATCTAAACAAAAAATTTAGCGTAAGTGACGTAATTCGACCAAGTTTTACCACTCCCTGACAACTAGCTCCCGCGTCTTTCACAGGCACTTCCATAAAAATGGCATTGCGAACATTTAAATCCAAAGTATTGTTTCACCAATTATAATCTCATCAGCATCATCTGGTCTCAAGCAGCTCAAAAGCAATTTTATAAAATGATTGAATTTCATCAAAACAATTTAAAATAAACTTTTGAGCCAAATGAATGTCGATTAAAAGTTTTCAGTAATTATTGTTGTTTGTGTTTCACAAGAATTTCAAAATCATTGCAAATAAGAAAAAGAACTTGAAAAAAACAATAAAGTCATTGTACTGATTTGAAAGGAAACAGCAATAAAAATAATCAAAGAAAATGGAGTAGAAGCATCAAGCACTAAATTTAGTATGATGAGAGTAGCATAAAAAAACTTTTATGGTTCGCGTAATTTAAATACTATTTCCTTTCCCGCCTTTCAATGATTTAGTATGAAAAAGCATTAACTGGTGGTCGAAATCCAAGATTGATGGGCTTTGCTGGAAATTAAGTGTAAAAAAATTCTTATTTTCCTTGCCCTTACTTCTGCTTGCTTTTATCGCATAATAAACTTTATGTTGTTCTTCACTTCTTTCAACTCATTTCGTTTCACTTCCTGGAATAATAAAAAAAAATAAACAGAGACCTTTTATTCTGTAAAGCACTCCAAAGGGGACGTTTACTTAATACGTAACGCTTTTAAGGGGGGTGGGGGAAGTTCTGAAATTTTGAGGTAGTTTGAAAATAAGTTTTCATGATTCAATTTTTGAGTCAAGCGGGGAATTCAAGTGTTGTTTTATTCACGTTACGTTTTAAGTGATCGATCCCAAAGTTTGATATTGAAACAGCATTTTCATTAAAAAAAATTCTCGCATTATAAAATATAGACTTCTTTTTATTAAGCTTTTATTTTTGTTGAATTTTAATTAAGGGATCTAATGGACGCTTGAAGGAAAAAGGATGTAAGGGATGAACATTTTTTTAGGATAAGTAATTTAAACATCTTATCGATAATAATTGATTCTGTCACAAAAAAAAGGCAAAAATACGACAAATTCGAAGCTTTAATTTTTTTTCATATAAAAATAATTAAATAGAATTTAATGAACAATGTCTTTTTAATATTAAATGGGACATCAAGATCTATATTATTCTAATATTAATTGGTTAAAGCTGGCAACCTTAACCAAAACCGCTTATTATATGCCAATTTTACTTCAAAATGTCAGCAATACAAAATTTGTGATTGTCTGCAATAAATCTTGTTATTTTATTCAATTTGTTGTTCTTAATCGTTATGGTACGCCAACGTTGAAATCATATTTCCCAGTATAAATACTTTAAAATCATAAACAACAGTTTGACATTTACATATTTTAGCATATTGCTCGATGAAAGCTTAAGCTACACTTTAGGGGTCATTCACTTCATTACGTAAACTTTTAGAGGATATTTGCGTAACGTAATTAGTGACCTTATCTTCATAGTCTAAATCAAGTAGTATGACTTGTTCATATGGGCCTAAAACTTTGAATGTAAAGCTTAAAGCTATTATCGATAAAATTTACAGCAATTACAACTATAATTCATTCAAGATGCACCATTGCGACAAAATGTAACTAGTATGAGCAAGTTTGGATATGCTATCAAGTACAATGCACTCAATCTTTAAAAAATTTCATAAACATATTTAAGTAATTATTATTACAGTAAAATTGCTTGTCGTTTTTAAAACAATTTTCTAGGCTTTTTATTTTCATTGAAAATAAATTTAATGGGAACTTAACACAATAGGATAATTTTGTGTAAAAGAAGCTTTAACGACTATACAGAATAATTAGTCAACGAATTTTTCTCAAAAACTAATCATCACAATTTCGAAACGTGTACCAAATGTAGAACAACAATAATTAATAAACAAAAATCTCCAATGTCAATGACATTTCAAAATATCAGCATTAATATAAGGAGCGTTGATGAACGCTACACAAAATTAAATTATGTTTATTTATTTATTATCAGGAGGTACATGTGCTAAAATATGTATTCTGTGTTTATCTTTCTCACTCGCTTGTGATTAGCACAAAATTAGATGATGATAAAATTAAATTGACATCCTCATTAATTATTGAGTAAATAATTACTTATTAAATGGCTGTCAAATTAGCAAATGTTCAATTCAACAGCCACAAATTCTATCTCTTTAGTCACAATTAAAAAACAATGCTCTGTTGTTTAAAGCATGAAAAAAATTGGTAATCAAATATTGGAATCATTCACTTATGATGTCTATAGAGCAGGGATGACCAACCTCTGTTCCGCGGCACACAAGAAACAATTTTCCTATATCTTACGAACCATAACCGTGTGCGGTTTTGGTCATGGCTTACCTCGAAGTGTATCGTGCTACAAAAAAGGTTGGACATCACTGCTATACAGGCATTAGGAACCAAAAAGTAATTAAAGAAGTGACAATTTTAAGACAAGAAAGAGAAGCGAGTCGTTTGTTGATATACATCATAAATGAACAACTCCCAAAGAGCACAAATCACAAAAATAAATTATAGTCAAATAAAAAATACTAATTTGGCAAATTGTCTTAGGAAAGTTTAAATATTAATTTAAAATATGATTAAATAAATCTACAATGAATTAAATGAATTATAATACTCTTTTTTTACAAAGAACAAAATAATAATATTAATAATAGGAACCGAAAAAAAGGTCAAAATAATATTTTTGCTCTGCATATTAGAAAAATACATAATGGTAAAAATGGTAAAAAAATAAATTCATCGTCCTTTTAGTCTATACTGTAGATAAGCTTCGTCATTTTTCTTTTGTTCATTCTTCTACTTCTTTTTCCATCATATCCAACAATTTTTCAATGGTCTCGTTCGAATGATGAGAGCGTATGAAGCGTAAGATTAATGAATGAAGAATTAACAACACCATCCACTTTTCTGAGGATATCCATGTGCTACCGCATCACGCTCCCATGGTCCAACCTCTATCCGTCCTATACCGTTCGCTTCTACAGACTGCGATATATCAATCGCCATGTGAACACCATCATAATATTGTATGCCACTCAAATTTGACATTGAAGAATGTGTCGAGAGGAGGGAGTCTTTTGATTCATATCGTTTCATTGATGAACATTTCGATTCAGATGATAAATTTATTAGACCCAGTCCAATGGATATGAATACTTGCTCGATACCCTAATTATGATATAATCGGATTATAAAGGATTAGAGGTTTGCTTCTACAGCTATTCTTATCGATCACATTCTTCACATTTCGTGAGTCTTGGTATCATGATAAGACTTTTAATGTAGGCACGTGTCATGATTACAGTTCAGATTGAATTTAAGCGATAGATTTCTTATGGAAAATTCCATTAAAGCTCATACAACAGGTTGAGGAAATGACAACCCCTTAAATTCCTCAAGCATGCTACAAGTAAATTTAATGCAGACATGGAATTATTTGAAAGTCATCGTTACTCTTGAAGTCGTTCATTTTTGATGTCAAACATTTTTTGTGGGATTGTGGATATCAATTGTGAATGACTATACTTAACAAAGACTACCAAGACTCGAAAAAGGTAAAGAATCATAATTATAGACACATATATTACCTGATCCTTAACTACAGATGTTTCGAGAAATTGTGCTCCTATCGATTGCGCATAAATAATTGCTTCCTCACGACTCACGGCTCTTTCTTGCTCGAGATCAATTTTGTTACCAACTAATAATAAAAACATCGGTTCCTGAACATTCTTCTGTAGTTCTAATATCCATGATTTCACTTCCGAAAATGTTGTGTAATTTGTAACGTCAAAGACTAGGAGGGCAGCATTAGCATTTCTATAGTACATTGGTGCCATTGCCTTAAATCTACATTTACATTTCATGGGAGGAATAAAAAAGACATAAAGTTAAGTTCCTATTTTTTTTTTATAGTCAACTTGCCGTTCTTGACCCGCCGTGTCCCACAGCTGCATTTTCACTTTTACATTATTCAAATTAATTTTACATGTAAAAAATGATGCTCCAATTGTCGGTCCGATTTCCTTACTGTATATGTTTGATATATATTTTGCAACAAGGCTTGTCTTTCCAACCCCTACCGAGAATAAGATGGAATCATTTAAATAAATTATATTACATTGTATATTTATTGTTTATTGCCTTCAATCTCACATTCAGATTAAATTAAATTCACTACGATAGTAAAATGAGGCTGTATCTGAGAAAAATCAGGCATATTTGCAATTTGAATGAAATTTTTTTTCTTCTTCTTATTCACTCATTTTCGTACTAATCAATTCTATTTTGCGTCAGTTTGTCTGTCTTGGAAGAGAATGACTTTTAGCATGACTGTATAAGTTTGGACTTTGGAATTTTTTAGAGAATCGCAGAGCAATTGCTTTAATTTTGTAGTAATTGCTAATTTAAATGGATTTCTCACGCAGCTAAAAGCACTTAGTACTTTGTTCGTTCAAATGGCAATCCAATTGGAATATTTTGATTCTAGCACAATCAAATTTGCTTTTATTTTATTGATATTCCTGAATTTTTTTTTTTTTGAGATTGAAAATGAGAACAAATGTTTACAGAGTAAATAGAAAATTGTTGAATATTCAAACTCGCACAAGTTGCCCACTAGCTGTTATGCTACACGAATAGAATTCAATTCCTTTTATTTTTTAGAGTATTTATTATTGAAAGTTTTAAGATTTTATTATTCTTTGATTTTTGCTGTGATTTCGTCATTTCTCAATAATTAGATAATTGTGAAGGCATCAATAGAAACAATGGATCAATTTAGAATCAAAAACTAAAATCAATGTCAGTTAGGATTTCATTTAAGTCAGTACCATCTGTACTCCCTCTTGTGTTTTGAATTCTAATGTTTAGCAGTAAAGATCTTCACCTGTTTACAAGCTCATTTAACACATATAATATATAATGTGTGAAGGGCCCAGCCTTTCAGCTGGAGGCACTGCGATTTAAATTAGAACAGAATCTATTGTACCACACCCTTTAGACCTACAGTTTATAGTGGGATCCGAACCACTTGCAAGCTCTGTACATTGCAAAGACACGAGTACGTCATAAGACCTGATGTACCCTGCAATGTACCTAGTCACAATCCGTGTGCGCAAGATGCCGTAAGGAAGTCATCCAGATGCTAGTATATTCTTGTATACCTAGCAAAGGAGGCATATTCTATGCCAAAGACATCAATACTACACCCAACACACGAACCGAGCTTCGTAACTTGAACGGTGAAATGGAAAAAGAGCTTCGAAAATTAGACATGGCCTGGGATTGAACCCAGGACCTTTGGCACGTAAGGCCAACGCTCTACCATTTAGGTCACTGATGCCATTTCACCGATTCATTTAACACAAGCTTGTTTAGAATCTACACGAACTTTAAAACAACACATTTGCTTCTTCTTATCAATCAACATTATACAAAACTAAGATCAAGCCTAATATTTATCGTATGCAACGAAATTTATTATAATTTAGTAATGTATTCATTAACCTCAAGGATATTAATCTTTTCTACTTAATGTCTTCTTCTGTTCCATAATTGAATAGTAAATATTTCTTAAAAAGTCAACACACGCCCATTTTAAATATGAGCCTTTGGGTACTACACGTTTTCGACTGTAATTTCTAGTAGAGTCAAAGCCAAAATGGTGAGTCCAAAATTATAAACCAATTGGAATAGCTTAACTTTTACTTTATTCATATTTAACGTTTTAGAACATTTGTTAAAGTTGAGTCCATCTTCGCAAGTTATCTTAAATATCGTTTACAAACTACGTCCACTAAATATCCACCCATAGATTTAGAATAAAGTCTAGGATAAAGTTGATGATTGCAAAAATTCTTCCAACAAAAGCCCACAAATCTTACTTTAAACTAGAAGAATTGCACATAAAATTCTCATTCATTAAAGTGATTCCTTTAATTAACCATCGTTGTTTACAAACTCAACCTTCAAAATCTATGAAGGCACTAGCATAAGACATTTATTAAGGATCTTGTATTCTTAGAAATTTAATTAATGTTCAGAAAAGTCTGATGAAGTTTGAAATATTTCTCAAAATATTTATCGATCAACATCGAGCTGATAAAAAAATGCACAACATTCAGAAACTTTCGTACTTGCTATGACTTAACAAACAATGAAATACAGAATGATAGCAACAAAAAGTGAATAAAATGAAAACAAGAAAATTTCTCTTTAGCACTCGGTACCTAAAATGTATTCATAATATCGAGAAAATCGTTCCAAAAGTAAACATATTCATCGGAAGTAACAATATCGATAAATTCCCAAAGTGTCAAAAGAGAATGAATCAAAAGAATGAATAAATGAATGGTAATAAAACAGAGGCAGATGAAAAATATCTCTTGGGTTATAAAAATATATACATTATGACTATATATCGGAAAGAAAAAGTTTCTTATCGATCAGGCAATAAAAATCTTTTTTTTTTTTCATTCTCGTCAACGCTGAATAAATTTTAAACAAGATTTTACAGTTGAGTTATAGGGAAGAAGAAGGAGACAATGAAAGATGACATGGGTGGTGGCAGAAAATAAATAAAATTCATCTCACGATTCATTCTTATCGCGCTCTGCTTGAAGCAATCAAACAATTTTGATATATAAACAGTTTTCGCACTTTCGGCAAGGAAATAAAGGAACTAGTAGAAATGTCTGCATGTATGTGGTACGGATGCGCATTCATACTAAGCAACGTTTGCTTATTTCGCTGGTCGTACAGATCAATTGTGATCCATGACCTCCCTTAGTCGTCCCCTAAAACTAGTTCTATCGCTGGCTACCGTCTGTCAATTGCCGATTCCAAATGCAACACTGTCTCTATCCACAGCCTCTTTCCATGAGTTCTTTGGCTTCCATGTGATCTCTTTCCATCTACAAAATCGGATTTAAAGACTTTATTTAATGGAGCGTCAACAGGTCTTCTAATAAAGTGTCCAGCCCATCGAAGCCTGTCTACTTTGATTCTTCTCACAATATACAGCATCTCTATACAGCTGATTAATCTTTGCATTTGCATAAGTCTCCTTCCATCTTCGGGACAAAGATTTAGCAAAGTTTTAAATTATTTCTAATGACTGTAACTCGAGGCAACAAGAGAGATTACTAGTAACTGAGCTAGGATTGAAAACTCAATAATTTTAAACTAGAAGCTCAAGATATAGAATTAATAAATTACATTTGAACATTTTTACTAGTTCCATTCTTAAATAGAGTGTTGTGTTGTCTAGAGTCCACACTTATCAAATCATTATAAATCACTTATCAGTCATTTCAGAAAATAAATTGATGAGACATTCTCAAAAAAGAGATCAGACAACAATAATAGACAAAGTGTTCAAAACCACTCCTTCAACACTGAATCTAAGAGATTGTGTGAAAAAATCAGTGTCAATATGTTTGGCTTACAAAGTCATCGATACAATCACTTTAATCTCCTACAGTAACGATTTGATAACATATTTGTTTTCACCTTATCAATCAAAAAATTGAGACACTTTTGCTCCTTTCATCAGCCCACATCTGTGCGCACACATGTCAAAAATAAATTCATTTTTTTTAGGGATCTCCAACAACAGTTAAAACTTAATAATTTTTTGACATCAAAGCTTTTTTATGTCATTAAACTTTTATCATTATAAATATGATAATTTTAATTATTTTTATCAGTAGGCAGCATCATTAATTATTCTTAGCTCAATTACCATTTTTCCTTAATTACCATAAATTTTGAATTTAATTTCATGAGAAAATTAAACCAACAGATTTTAGATATTAATGCTGCAAAAATAATATTTATCACTTCATTTTCAAATGTCTTTGTTTCTGATCCCAATTTCCGTAGCCCCTACAACAAGCTTCAATATTTGATCGTTTTATTTTAGAAAGACAATTGCATTGAGAGACGTGATTTGTGTCAAAGAAAACTGCTGTCTCAATTTTTTTACCCTTTTCCGTCACTCAATTACGTTCATTCACATGAAATCTCATGTTCAATGTCAGTGCACGTGTTGCGAAAGCTGAAGTGCAAAAGCTTCACCAAATCCTACAGAAAATCAAATGAATTGGTTGATATTTCATATTGGTTTATTCGAAAATTTGATTTAATCAAGTAAAAGCTAGATCCTTTAATCATAACTGATGATTTCCTGCCTCTCCTAAAAGTGGAAACCAAGCTAGTAAATCTCAAGAATAATCGCAGTTTCTCGAAATTCTTCCGGTTGTAAAAAACCCCTAAAACAAATTAAATTTCCATCATCCTATCCAGAAAATTTATGTTCCTGAGTACAAGAGCTATCAATGTTATACCGAATGTTGGCACACACTTTTTGGCATGTTCTTTGGTTGGTCTGTTTATTTAATTATGTTGAGTTAAAGAGCACACAATGGTCATTGTACTTAGCTTAATACACAATTTATAGAAGCTGCGGCATGTCGACAATAATTTTAAAACAGTGCAACCTAGTTGTGCAAGCTTTATGTCAATTTATTGCCTTGAAAAAATAATATTTTTTCTTCTTTGTTCTATGTTTTTACGACTTGTTAAGCTAGTTGCAATTTAATTTGTCATTTCGATCAAAGCTTGGCTTAAATTGTTTTTTTTTTTTGTTTTATTTAGGGGCCGTTCACTTATAACGTCCGACATTTATGGGGGGAGGGGGGTCCAGGATTTTGTGACAGTTCAAACAATGGAAATTTTTGTCTATAGAATTTTTGTGACTGAGGGGGGGGGGGAAGGGGGTCTAAAAATCAGGTTTTTTTTTCGTAACGAAATAAGTGAACGGCCCCATACACATACAACCAGTTTCACTGCGAGCCCTATGCTAAGGCCACAGATATGCTCTTGGAGCTATATCTACAGAAAGTTCTTTAATTTTGTTTCAAACTACCGATACTAAAATTTAAAGAACCCATTAGCGGCACGTTTGATGTTAAAAAAATTAATGATTTAAATTTAATTTCTCGATTGAGTTTAAATGAGATCAGCACAGTATGATAAACGCAGATAAACGTATTAGTCATACAAATGATAATTTTGCTTGGCTAAACTCGACTGAGTCAACAATATTCTGAAAAGTTTTATTTTAAATAGGTTTAAATAGTACATAGGAAATGTAGACTTTAAGTCGTTTGAAGAGAAAGTAATAATAAAGCAATTATAGAAACAGTATCAAAACATATCGAGATGCATGAAAGATTTGAATATGTTAAAACTAAAATTGATAGCGAGAGTTTATGGATTTATAAGCTTGAGCGAGTTAGTAACATTGAAGGTAAATATTTTCGCAAGTAATTAACAAGAAAACTTTCCCAAAAAGCGGAGGAAATGAATGAAAAAAGAAAGAGAAGTCGGTAAAAAAGAAGAAAACAAAGTAAAACGGTATCAATTAGATTATAAGCTGAGTTTTACGACGATTGTACGTCGACCTTCATAAAAAAATACGCAAAAAATAAACAATTTGACAGTCACTAGACTGCGTTATATAAGTCGAAGATCTGCATTACATTAAGATTCTTTTAAATGACGTAATTCATGCTCTTGACATTCCAAAGTCTCAACAAATACAGCTGATCAAAACAAAGAGTTCCTCAAATTTCTTTATGCTTGATATTTTCACGATATACTATACCTTGCGAGCCAAGGACAACGATTTTTGCTTCAATTGCTTTCATTTTATTAATGCTGGCATATATCACTATCTCAAATCACTCGTATTTGTTATTAATTATGTTATTTTTTATTTTCATGAAATTCTCAAAAATTTCTTCTTGGTGAAAAGCATTAAATATCAGTCTATATATTCATTTAATCACAATAGATTTTGTTATCCTCGATGGTATTTAACATCACAAATAATCGCTTATCACTTTAATTAACATTATCGTCTTATAAACTGGTAATTAAGAATTTTTTAAAAAAATAATATAAACTCATCACAAAGTATTGAAAAAACGTACGTTAAAGTTTATGCAAAATAAATACGTAAGCTTTTAAATTTTCTAAGATCGTTATTATGTTTATAATTTCTACAAAAATTAACCGACACTTTAAATTCGAATGTTTTTGTATAGATTTCCAGCAATTTATTTTCTCCGATACAGTTCTGGATGATATCCTTTAATTAATGTAATTTGCTAAAATGATTTTAAATAACATTAGCTAAATGCCATTTCATTTTCTTATTCCTAAGTGTTTCAGATTTTATAATGGAATAACTGTCGTTCTAGATTTAAAAACTGTTTTACAAAATTTGAATGTATTGGTAAGCACACACACACTAAGTCAAAACAGTAAAATTAGCTTCAAATATTCTTTTAATTCAATTTTTAAGAGAATTACAAAGAAACTAGGTATTTACATATGATAAATCATGGCATCGGCACTAGAACATTATGTAAACAATGTCCGTACTATGACATCAGCCGGTAAGTAGCATTAATTACTCAAAATTGTATAAATCGAAATTTTTAAAATTCATGAAATAGGAAATTTTCGCGAACTGGTTGATTATCTTAATGACTCGATGGAACTACTTCAGAGGAACTTAAACTTGTTAGATAATGTAATGGAAACGTTAGATTTACAACATCATTCATTAGGAGTGATGTATATTGTTGCAGCCAAGATTAGCGAAATTCAAGTAAGGCACACAATTTTCCAATATCTTACAGACATGAACTGATCATTTGTTTACAATCTTATTTTAGAATGAAGATCCAGAGCCTGTTTTATCTTTAGTTAAGCGATTTGTCACAATTTGTAATGGTGAGCAAGTTCGTAATGCTCCACAAACATGTAAGTAACATCCAGTGAATCATCAATAGCTTACTAATGTCCAATATTTTGTAGATTTTGATCTGTTTCATGCCTACACAAATCTCCTCGTCAAGCGGAAATTAAATACGACTCAAGGAATCCCAGTTTTAACCGTAGCTATTGAAAAGATTCAGCTAATGGAATCACAATTGACTCCAATTCATGCTGATTTATGTCAATTATGCTTAAGTTCAAAAGTTTTCAAGCCAGCACTCTACTTTTTGGATGTTGATGTCACAACCATCGCAGCCGCTGAAGATCATCAGGATTCTACAACAAAGTACTTCCTTCTGTATTATTATTATGGTGGAATGGTCTATGCAGCAGTTAAAAACTATGATCGTGCATTGTACTTCTTTGAAGTAGCAATTTCGACACCAGCAACTGCCATGTCTCATATTATGTTGGAATCATATAAAAAGTACATCCTCATCTCATTGATTTTGCGAGGAAAGCAAATAACGATTCCTAAATATTCACCACAAGTGATTGGACGCTTTATTAAACCGCTGTCTCAGCATTATCATGAATTATCGAACGTTTATATTAATAGTGGCTCGCCAGAAGCCGTTCGTGCTGTCATAACTAAATATCAAGAGACTTTCGTACGTGATAACAATTTGGGATTAGTCAAACAAGTTCTATCGACGCTTTACAAAAAGAAAATTCAGAGATTGACAAAGACTTTCCTCACTTTATCGCTCTCAGATGTCGCAAGTCGTGCATCATTGTCGAGTCCAGCGGAAGCTGAAAAGTACATTTTGAATATGGTAAGTACTTTGGAAACCTTTCAAATGTTTTAAACTTGAATAATAATTTGTATGGTTCTTAAATTCAAATTTTACAAAACCGTTAAAACTTTGTAACTTTAATGTAGATCAAATCAGGCGAGATTTTTGCAGCAATCAATCAAAAGGATGGAATGGTTGTGTTCCATGATGATCCAGAAAAATACAATACACCACACATGTACTTGAACATACAGGAAGACATGAATAAGATAATAGAATTAAACAAAAAGATAACGCAAATGGAAGAAGAAATTATGCTGACACCGATGTTTGTGAAGAAGTCTACCATACCCGAAAGTGTAGTTGATGACAAAGGATATCCAAGTGAAGCATGTGAGTGAATTCTCTTAAAAAAATGCTTGCTTTTTGCTCTAAATCTCTTTCTGCAAAGCAAAGTCCCAAGTAGATGCTTAACTACTGAAAAAGAATACAAAAAAAAATTATGTTCTTTATGCTGTAAAACAAATCTTGAGTTTCAAATAAAAGCGCTGGCTTTGAGATCTTCTTTTTAGTTTACATCTCAATGTTTTTTATATATCCTTTATTAAATCATGGTTAATGATTTTTCACTTTTTTTCACGTTATATAGTATATACATCAAAATTTCCATGATTTTTCACAGTAAAGTTTTCATCATTTATCATCAGTATTTTATTATTCTTTTTTTTTTGAAACTTAAAATGTCTCATAAGAACTGTTACAAGAAATTAATTTTTTACATATTTTCCCAGTATCTACTTTTTTTGCTTGCTCATTCACAATTCACAGGATACCAAAAAATTGTAAAATTAATTTTCAAAATTCAACGGTCGAAAATAATTCAAATTTTATGCTTTAAAAATAACGGCGAAAAATTATTTATAAAGCAACTGTCAATTTTTTTTCTTCAAAAATTGTCTTTTCAAAATAATTTTGGCGGTTTTTTCTTCAAAAAATAAATTTGCCGTTATTTTTCAAGCATACAATTTGAATTTTATTAAACCGTTGAATTTCTCTAATCTTATTTGATTAAATTTTGTCATTCTGTCCATTGAAAATGAGCTTTCATTAGTCACGAGACTGACCACGTCTATTCTATTTATGCTTATTCATGATTTTTTTTATTGAAAATTAAAAAAGTTTTCTTGCTAATATTTTAAATTTTTATTGAAAAGTGCAAAAAATTTATCAATTTCTTAAAGAGTCCTGTTTTCAAAGCTATTAGTAATTTCTTGTTTTGGTTGTTCACTTTTGCTTCCTTTTCTTCAAATCTTTATGCAGTTTAAGCCTTGATTTTTGAAAAAGTTTCTATTGGAAATAATCAAATGAAATATTATGTTTAGGGGCAGCAATCAAAATTGTATTTTAAGATAAAATGAATTGAAAATATCTATGATAAGTTGTGGATCTACGGATTAAAGGAGTTTCTTTCTTTATAAATTCTTCTTTTATTCAATAAAATATATTCATGTATACATTAAGAATTTTTCTGAGAACTTTTTGTCTCTTTACTTTTTTGAATTTCTTTATTTGTTCTTTTCTGTAAAAAAAAGAGTTTTTGACAGGATTGAAAAAGACTTGAGAATTTATACTTCTTTCTTTTGTGTCTAAAAATTGATTTTTTTTACTCATTCTTTTTATTTTACACTTACAGAACAAAGGATTTCCTCAAACGAAGTTCAATGCTCTTGGAAATGGCTGTGTAGTTGGCAAAATTGCGGACATAACATATGATTCTTTCAGCATATTATTATTATTTTTAACAGTTGTTTCAAATTCAAAAAATTAACTGTTTTCAAAAATTCAAATTTTTGCACCTTTTTGGAAATATTTTGTTCAAAAATAGAATTTCCGTTAAACTTTGAAAAGCTCTATGATTTTATGAAATTATGAAATATATTTTCTTATAAGCACATTAAGCAAGAATTGAAATATCTGGAAATAAATCTCCTAGAAAATATCTTTATCAACACAAAATGCTTATTTTCATTCTTGCATAGAAAGCATCTAATAAATCCTTCAAATGTCAACATCCTGATCTGCAAACTCAGCAAAATACATAAAGAAATCCAAGTCTTTTTCACATCCCCAAAAACAGTCATTAATTACTTTATATTTCAGCGGCAAACAGCCATTTCTACGATTCGATTTTTTTTTTGTTTTGCAAGTTATAAATAAAATCTACAATTCTCTATAGGGAGATATAATCATTGTTTTTATGTATATATGTCAATCATTCGAACTATAAATGCATCATTCTGTTCCTACATCTCCAGCTTCATTCTATGATGCAAATTACATTCGATATGATTCTACGATATATTTTCTTTTTCTTACTTAATTGGTATAATTTTAATGATGTATAATATAATATAAATTTTTTCATGGAGCCAGCCAAATTAAATTCTTCTAAAAACAATTTTTATTCTTCATTTATTTATTATATAATTTTTTTTATTGATGGACGCATTTTCGACGATGTTTGAAATATTCTTGATGGGTTAAAAGGAATACAAAATTGTGAGTGTGGAGGAATTAGAGATTTTTTAAATGCTTCGAATTTATTTTTTTATATTTTTTAATCCTGCATTGATCCGCGAATTTTCGACTGCCGTGTAATTTCGGTTACTTTTTTTGGTGAATTTACTTATTTAACTTTCTATTTGTTCATCTTTAAGTTCATTTTGGATTGTTTTTAAGGATTTCCAGGTTCTTGAGGATTGTCAAACGGATCTTATCCAGGCTGATTCTAATGTTTTCAAACTTTTTGGAATTGCAACACAATAATATTCCAGTAACCAAATAAAATAGCAAGACTAAGTTCTTATAGAATAGCTTAAAGCTTACATAAATCTTACTTATGACGTTTGTGGTTACTGTGGAAAGTGTATCAAAAATTACGATTACGGTCAATAATTTTAATCATTGAATCAAAATGCAAATGAATTTGAATAAAATTGATTTCAGTTGAAATTGAAATTTCGATTATTTCTATCAATTTTGATTTCGACTAGATTTTGATCAAGTTATTGATTGTGATCGTTAAAACACTTCAATCGCTTTATTTAAAATTCAGCACTTAATAAGATTTTTTAAAAAGATTTCATTCGAAAAATATTCAAATTGGTTAAGAAAATTAAGTTTGTTCGAAGAACGATAATGATCTTAATGATTTTGTGTTGAAGTAAGTATGAATTCTTTAATTTTGTTGTTTTCAAAGGATAATTATGAATAGAAATGTTCTTGATAAACTAAAGCAAATTGATTGAACTCTTTTGATTTTAAAATCATTCAATGAAAATTTTGAAACTATTTTATGTTGATAAGTTTTAACCAAAGATGTGAAACTGATCAAATCATCAAAATGTGATTGATCAGTTTATAACTTTGATTTTGATGATTTCAAACCTACTTTAATGTTCTTGTTTTAGATAACATTGCATTTGTTGAGATGTTAACTGTTCAAAAAATAGACTTTAACTTCTTGCATCTTTCTTAAAGGTTCATTAAAAATTGTTGCACAATTTAAAATGAATTAAATTGAAATTAAAATCTCAAATCTTTTTATCTCAAAATGTATTCAATTTTAAACCTTTATTCTATTCATTCTTCACATAAATCATCAGATCCTTTAAATTAAATTTTCTATAAGCTTCTAAGTCGATTAAACCTTTCATCATTAGAATTTCGTATAACTTTAACCCAATTACATCCAAACAAGAAATTAAAGAAGATGAAATAGAAGCTAGTTAAGTAATTCACCCTTTAATTTTGTTACTTGGAAAATTTATACGTAGAAATTTTCATTTAATTAAATATTAATTTTTTCACATCGAATAATTGTTTAATGCTGTTAACCAGAAGATCAAGAAACTTTTCTCTCTTCTTATAAAAAACTTTTTCTTATGCATTGAAAAAAAAATACGTCAACAAACATTTTCACGTTATGGCAACGACATAATCAAGTTTATGCGACGCCTTTTTTTATTGTAAAACATCAAATTTTCACCGTTATAATGGCGCTTGGTATTGTTCACAAATTTTTTTTTTACTTTCATTTATTATAAGTCACTTTTTTATCAAAACACCATGAGATGATGACTCTTTAAAAAATATTTAAGTTCTCTTCCTCATTTCAATTTTGACAAACAACATTTTTTTAATTTTTTCATCAATTCTTGTAAAATAAATTCTTTTTTCATGTTTTATTTATGAATCAGCGTGTCCATCCGCTTGTTCTGGATTTATATTTCATCAATTTTTCCTTTATTTCCTTTAATATAACCTAAGTTGCACATCATGGAAACAGCAATCACATGGTAGCTCCTTCAATAGTTATATGCGACACAAAATAGGCAAAGGCAGTCGTATAGACTTCAAATGACTCCAAAATAGAGCCTCCGTGTCGCTCGAGCTTGACAACCATGTGACAGGCACAATCACATGTTGCGCAACTTAAGGATTATTATTATTTTATTTAGTCTGTCTCAATTTTTGGTTTTCAGCTTAAGTTATGTTTTCATCAAAGGATAAAATATGAGACGACACCGCATTAAGCAGTTGAACATTTAAATATATGATTTTTACAAAAAAATATCAATACTGGTCCAATTGGGTTATATATATGATAATCGGATAGAATCACTATTCGATTTAAATTAACGTATTTTTGAAATTTGAATTTTTAACGGCTGGTTTTTTTTTAAATATTAAGTTCTAATTTTTTAGTACACAATGTTTGTAAACAACAGATAAATTATTAACGAGACAGGTTTTCATATTTCGGTGATTTCAAAGTAATTAAGCTGCTGACGATGCGATTTCACGATATCTTCCTTGTTTTGTGTTGTTCAGAATCAAGCAGTAAGTCGATTTTTTTCAATAAATAAATTTTTAATTGAGATTTGAATATTTTTAGATTTCTCAAATCTGTCAATTCCTTACTGAGTTGATTGTAAAGCCTGACGCCCAAATAGCTTATGTCAAGACCAAGACAATTCTTTTTCTTAAATCTACAAGCTACAACTTCTCCAGAGGATCTTGTGATGCTGTCTGTAATGTCAAAATTTAAGAGCTCTGGCTTATCCAAGAGAAGAGATTTTTTTATGTAGACAATCATCATATAGTAAATGACTCCAATTACTGGTAAGGTATTAGGCATATAAGTCTTAAATAAGTCCAATGTTGAATGCTGAGTGTCCAGATTGAATATATTTTTTATACATCTATTTTGCAATACTTGTAGACGGGATGTTTGATCAGCATTAAACTTTGCATAAATAGCAGCACAGTAATAAAGATGAGACATAAAGTGGCCGTTGAAGAAGTCGATAAGCATTTGACGAGGTAAGTGATGTTTAATTATTGATAAAACTCTGCATACTTGAGTCAATTTGTTAATTAAGCTATCAAATTGCTCTTTTAGGGTGAATTTTTCATCGATAATTACTCCAAGAAACTTATGGCTGCTTACTCTCTCGATATTCACTGCATTATCTATCTTTAGTTCCATTAATTCATTTTTTGCCAATCCAGTATTTCCCATAATCATATACTTTGTTTTTGAGAAATTCAGTAGTAAACCGCAGCTATTAAAGTGAGAAGCCATCAATGAAATATCATTTGCTACTTCCAATAATGTTGAATTAATGTCTGCTTTTTTACAGCTTTTGTAGATCGTATTATCATCAGCGAATTTTATACGAAATGATGAGATGTCAGGAGAATCGAAGAGGATGACATTAAAAAGATGTGGTCCGAGAATAGAACCTTGAGCAACTCCATCTTTATTAGTTACTATTGTGCTTATGGCTGTTCCGATTCTCACCGCTTGTGTGCGATTATTAAAATAAGATTTCAATAAATCTAGTGCGTGACCTTTTACACCTAGGTAAGACAACTTTTCCAACAAAATATTACGGTCTAAAGTATCGAATGCTGATGTTAAATCCATAAAAACTGTAATGACACATTCATTTTTGTCGAGGAAGTTCAAAATATCGTGACTAAATTTCTGAATGGCATCACTTGTTCCAATTCCTTTTTTATATCCATACTGCTCACAGTCGTTAATTCCAGTGCTATCCATAAAATCTTGTAGCCTGTCAAGTATTATACGTTCAACAATTTTATTGATAACTGGGAGTAACGCGATGGGTCGATAATTTTTAATCTCGTTAACATCTCCTTTCTTGTAAACTGGAACAATTGTTGCATATTTTAGAGCGTCTGGATATTCGCTATCTTTGAATATTTTGTTGATAACAATTGTTAATGGAATTATCAGTTCTTCTTTCAATTGCTTGATAATCTTTGGTGGAATAGAATCACTTCCAGCTGATTTTTTTTCATTTAAGGTATTCAATATGTTCATGATTTCCTCTTCTGATACGATATCAAAAAAAATGCAGTCATCAATGATTGGTCCATTGTATTCAATTGCATGTGATGTATGAGGAATTTCCATCAGAAATTTATCATTGAAAATTTCTGAGATTTCCATCGGATCACTAATTATGCCATTTTGTGTATTCAAAACTATGTCACTATGCTTTTTATTTTTACCAAGAATTTCATTAATTAGCTTCCATGAGTTCTTCTCATTACATTTTATTGCATTTGTGTAGAATCTGTTTGATGCCTCAATGCAATGTGTATTAATCAAATTTTTTAAGTCATTCAGTTTACATTTAAGTTTATTTGTTGGCTTGTTTAATTTCTCTAATTTTTTCGTCTTTTTAAGGATGTTATTTGCTTTGTTGTGAAGGACATGATATCTTATGTCAGCCCATGGAGGAGCAATGACTGAACTTTTTATGTTGACCACTGATGATTTAGTAGAGCTCTCCATTGCAGATTGAATTGCGCCCACCAAATAATCATAACTTTCGTTCGCGGGTAGGTCGTTCAACATGTTTTCATCACATACAAAATCACCTCTTAGTTTCTCATAATTACACATTTTCCTCATAATGATTTTATTTTCTGTTTTAGGTGGTTTTGTGCTGATAAATGAGAGAATTAGATTATGATCTGAGCCCAAAAGTTCAGATGATGTCAGTGAATGGATCGATTTATTTGCTGGAGCATTCAATGTTATAAAATAATCTATCAGTGTATTGCTCATTGGATCATTTACGTTCACATTTTCTCGATGAAAATTTCATCAATGTACAACATATTACATTTTTTCTCGGCTTTTGAGCATAAAATGTGATTAAGGAAATAAGATATATCTTAGTCCTCACTCGAAAGCAAACTGAATGATGAAATTCAATATTGTTGTCGTGCAGAGGAGGTTTCCTCCTATCAACACTGTTATGGAAGCTTTGAAACTGATAATGTTGATTGATCGACTATGAATAAAAAAGAATTCAGGAACATTGTGGGAAGATAGTTGTTAGTCAAAGATTTACAGATATTGATTCGATATTGCCTATATAGAAAAATCTCTCAAATGTCAGAGGCATCATCATTAATTATGAATAGATTTTCAAAGAAAAAATTCAATGCTGGATGTTAAATGAAAAATGAGAAAATCCGCAACTGATATTCATCATAAATTTTGAGATATTCATAGGTTTGAATTCTTCAAACATTTATAAACAAATTTTGAATTTTAACGTTTTTCAAAAATTCAAAACAAATTCCTTCAAAAATTTAAATCTTGTTTTCGCTTCAAATTTTTGAATTTTCGCATCATTTAACGAATAAATCTTTTTAGCGAATCTGTCAAGAAAATCAAAAGCTTGTATTTCTCAATATATCCATAAAAGTTCATCAACTTCTTCACAAACAATGCCAAAATACATGAAAAGTTTCCACAACAATTTCATCGAAATCATTTTATTCAATTAGATAAATTGAATTACAGTCGATCAATTTCGTTAACATTCTTCCAAGGAATCGATATGAATTCACAACAATACGAACCAAATCCCTTAAATTCCACAACATACAGTTCACTCTCGGAAGGGGGTTGACTATATTATGTTACTTTATTTCATTTTTTTTGATAAGTCCTTAAATAAAAGCTTCGTTATAAACGAACACAACGAATAATAAGAATGAGGAAAGAGAGAGAGAGAGAAGAAAATAATAAATTTGTTGTGTATGTTAACTATGCATGGCAAGAAAACGTGATGAGACATAGATGAAATGAAGAGAATTTATGCTTTCACATAACGTGCAGTTGACAATATTTTGTAGATGAATAGAAAGAATTTGGGAAACCGAGCTGCCACATAAAGACAATGGCTTATATTGGATGCAACATAGAATGACACATGTATCACTGAAGACATACAAAGTCGAAAAGCTGCATCATTTTAGTATCTTGTCGCATGAAGGTCATCAAATGGTACAGCATGAATAGTTGGAAGCTTGGAGTTATCATACAACAGTCAAGGACAATAAATCATTGTCTAAGCAACTGTTGCAGTAACATTATGATAACTACAGAGACACCATGTCACACAAACTACATGCAACATTGCGACAGAGACATGATAGTATGTGCTGCTCGGGATGAAGATTTCTATTGAATAGAAAATTTGATATAAAAAGAATTTCGGTAAATTAAGCAATGTAAATAATAAGATTATGAAGAATAAAGAAATAAATTAAATTAAGAACTTTTTGTGTATAACTTTTCTCTTAATGTTAAAGCACATTCATACATCCAGTCAACATTTGGAAGAAATGTTACATCTTAATGTTTTTGGACATACGGATACAATATTATCCTTTAGTCATAAAGACAGAAAAGTTCCACCGTAAAAGAAACAAAGTCATCTGCTGTTAAAAATGAAGCAATAATTGTGACAACAGATGTGTATAAAATAAATTTAAATACATAATAATTTAGCTACATTATCATCATATCATAAATGAAAAATGATCTTTTAAATATTATCATTATTATTATTATCAAATATTAATTCATTTTAAATACGTAACAAAAAGAGAAAAGAACTGAAAAAACTGATATTACTTTTTACGATTTCATTGCATTTTAATAACTTTTAATTCCTTCTCTTCTTGTATCTCTTAAACTGATAATGATACAAAGCTATTGTATTGAGTAATGTTGCGTTTGAGAATATCGGCACATAAGCCCAATACTCGCTCAAAGCGAGCTCTATCAAGTTTGACACATTTTAATGGAGTACGTGCAATTACCTGCAATTAAAGGAATTATTATTAGTATTAATGTTGGAAAGGGGGTTGTTCATAAATGACGTTCTTCATAAAAATTGATGTTTTAAATGATTGATTAAATGTCGTGAAATAGAGGTCTAACCAGAAGTTCTTTAAGCGCGTTTCAAATTTTCTTGAAGATTCTAAAGCTTTTATAATTAATATTTAATATTATTCAAGTCACCCCCCCCCCCCCCCCCTCGCACACAATCCTTTATAGTTATACAATATCATAAACATTGTTGGATCTTCCGAAGTTCCGATTTGAGTTTCTGATAAGAATCGAATTAATGTCTTCACAAATGAGAGGTTCAGGAGCTTGGCAATATGGAGGGTACTTGAATGGAAATTAACCCTGCTTCTTACCACTCTCTACGTTTTGGTATAAAGGTTGCTTACACCTGGCTCAACAACCTCTCCCCTCCATTGATGAACGTCATAAATGAATGAACCACAAATGCATATAAATAATACTTACAGTAGCTGCACGGGGTCTGTCCAGTAGAAGAGCGATCTCACCAAAGTAATCTGATGGACCAAGTCGACCGACTTCTGATGGCTCCTCACCCTACGCATGTATCAGAAAGAAACAAAACAAAATTCAGAAAAGATGAATAATTAATTGCGGATATGAATTTTTAAGCACACAAACCTCTCCTCTCTGCTGCAAGACAGTGGCACAACCTTCAACAATTATGTAGAAATCATTACCCGGCTCCCCTTGTTTCACAATCGTTTCACTTTCCTCAAAACTGACTGGCTCTAGTGCATCAGCAACAGTAAGTCTCTCCCATTTATCTAAACTTTCGAGGATTGAAACGCGAGACAAAAACTCGTCATACATTTTGCGTTTTCTGATTGTTGAGCCCATAAGAATTCGTCGATAGGAGTCACGATCAATACCCCATAATTTTACATCAGTTTTGGCACGTACCTAATAATAGAAAATAAAGGTATACAAATATTATGAAAGTAATTAAATTTACTGCCGTTTTAATCTTGGCACTTGAAATTGGATTAGCTATTTTTAAAAGTTGATTAATGGAAGTAATTACACGGAATTTTGAGTGTTACAGAGAGTGCTATAGAAATTTACGGGCCTTAATACTTAGCAAAACACTCAAGAATAAGCAGATTATTTTGTTGTTGGATATAAAATTTTCATCTCTAGTTTGTTGTTTTGGATAATTTTTCAGCAAGTACTTTTAATGAAATTAAGTGTCAAGACTTAATGAAGTTTGACTCTTCGTAATAGAGCTGATTTTCTTATTAGGGCTGTATTTGTAGACTTTAGCAACACAAGTTATATTCAATGAGATTTGAACTTCAACAAAGATTTTGATATTTATGAAGATTTGATATTCAACCACTAAGTTGATGATCCCTGTCAACTAAGCTATAAGGTAATGAGCTCATTTTGGATATATGTCATATTTAAACAACTGCGATTTTAGTGTCCTGTGGTATCAGACCAGTGTGAAATCTGAGGGATCGAGCCATTAATAGGTGAAATTCCCAGTTCGAGAGTACGGCATCTGTGGCGTGAATGGTTAGGCAACCGAGTGGATATCTGTAACCCTCTATTGTGAGGACGTGGGCTCGAATCTCACCAGAATCTGATTTCGCTCGACATTACACACTCATAAAATAGCTTGGCTTCAGTAGATTTTCTACCTCTGCTTCGAAACTTGAATTTTGGCCCATAATATTCCTTAGCAATTAAATCTTCCATTAATGAAAACAAATCAAAGAAAAATATTTTCACAAACAATTTAAATTCTCAATTAAAAGTGCAAAAAAAAAAGTATCAAAACTTGCCGAGAATGCTGATTGTACAACTTATAATTGGCTTATTAAAACAAATTTTTAAACTTACTGTTGCGGCACGAGGCGTTCCATAAATAAGTGCGAGTTCTCCAAAGCTTCCACCCTCGCCGATTGTTGTTACCAATTCAGCATTCACAAATACCTAAAAAGGGATTGAAATGAGTAAGCATCAATGTTTTTCTATCACGGTTCATTAAATTTTGAAGAGGAACATTTTCCCATGAATATTTGAGCAACTGTTGACGACATCTCTTCATAATTTGGAAGCGGGTTTAAAAAATCCTTATTATAAGCTGAGCTCTTATCTAGTTCCATTTAAATCAGTCCAATGAATAATTTTTTTTCCCTGTTGATGACAAACTTTTCTTTGTTCGTTTTCATTCTCATCTTTATCATCTTAATGATGCGTATGGATGATTCAAGCACAATAGCTGACAAAAAAAAATTGGTTGTACAAAAATTTCTTTTTTGCTTGTGCTGAAAAAAGCTTGGACAATTAAGTCATCCAACATCATCATCAACATTAGAAATAATGAACCATGAACCACGAACCACGGTGAAGACCAGAGTAAGCACGTCATTGTCAGTTGAAAGGCTATTGTCACTTCCTCGTTGGTATCATTAATAGTTGGTGACAGTGTCATAAGGGGATAACAACATGATGGGAGAAGGTTTTGATTGGAAATTTTTCATCGCGATAGAAAATTTCTCATCAAACTTTTTTCATTAAGTTGTTATCCCCTTGCAGTGACATTTAGAAGAAGAAGAATGCAAATGATTACTGCTGATTGACAATTCTGGTCCTGACTAAGGATTCTCAGTAATTCAAATAAAATGTTCAATTGTTTTTAGAAAACTAATTGGCAGATACAGTACAGATATTGAGAACCCCTAGTACAGACCATTGGAAGTGAAAACACAGGAAAATGTTCCTGAACATTTTTAATTTAAAAAAAGCTATAAATTACCTCAACCTCTCCTATATCAAGAACATAAAAGTTGTCTCCCTCGTCGCCTTGCTGTATGATGGATTCACCGGGTAGACAATTTACTGGAAACATTGCATCAAATATATCTGAACGTTCATTTTCATCTAAATGTGCGAAAAGCACGTTTTTTCCTATGGCTTTTGAGAGTGCTGCCATTGTTTTATAGTCTTTTGGTACAACCTATGGATTTTTATTGAAAAGAAAGTATAAATGGCATGAGATTTATTGGCAATTAATTATTGTGAATGGAGATAGGAAGAACAGGAATTATTTTTTATGGAATAATTATTTTTTGTGGGATGTTTTTGGAATTTTTGTTGCTTCTGACACTCTGATTGTGAGAATTTGGAGTAAGTTAAGAGATAGAAACTTCTTAATAAATCCCCAGATGATCGTATGCTCTTGTAAGGCATCCTGGCTCAAAAATTGAAACAGCCTAGCACGAGTCTGACGTTTTTTAGGTTAGTATCAAATTGGTAAGAATTTCCTATCGTGTTGTATTCCTCTAGCAACCCTGAACTCTTGATTTTTTTCATTTTAATTGCACTTTATTGCATTTATTGACGACATACTGTTCGGTAATAATTCACATTTTACATTTTTGTATTTGTATACATATGAATTAGTATTATGTAGGATCAAAGTTCTAATCTTCAAATCTAGGTTTCAAATAAACTAAGGCTCTCGTTTCGATTTTCTGTAGGCGTGACGTGATACTTTTCAGGTCCGTTCTAACAATATTCCATTCGTGGGTAATCTTGTAGCTCTCGTTCCTATTTCTCCCGCTACACTTCAAGTTCCTGACCCGTTTTTTAATCCAACGATGCCCAAATGCCCAATTACGGCTTGATCTCGTACATTAAGCAGTCGAAGTATCTAAACTTCCGAAAAAGAACAAATTGGAAATGGCTGGATTCGAACCGTCGAACTTTGAGTTACCATCCCAAATTTGAGCCAAGCGCATTACCTAGTCGATCAGCAAGGCACTTAACTGCTTATAGATTAAGATCCTATATTAAATCAGTCTTAGAAACATCAAGGAACAATTCTATCAGAGCACACTGTTCATCCGTAATTGACGAAATATTCACAAATTATCCCACCCCTAAAATATTTGCATCCCACAAATTGTGCTGCGTGATTAAAAATATTTTCATTAATCTTCATTGAAAACAGATCAGTTTACAAGAACCTTCAATCATTTCTTTTTATACGCCAAATTTCCCGTGACAGCAACAACGACACAAAAGAAAACTGTCAGTCATTTTAACACATGAAAAATTTACACGATTTAACAATAAAAAAAAATCCGACAATAAATTTTCCGGTAATATGATTATATGAAAATATATTGCCATTGCTATTCTATGATACTACTGGCAATGCCACATGTCAAGAATGATCATGAGGTAACAAGAAAAAAAGGTTCACTGCTGATTTTTAAAAATGCTGAAACTTGAAAATCGGAAAATATTTAATTGAATTCTAAGCACATGCTCGTCTTTTGAAGAAATGCTATTCCTGAACTATTCGGAAGCGATTCTCTATGTTAAGGTATCAGAAACAGCACAAAAATCCCATTATTCAGCCTAATAATAAATTGTCTGTATTGTCATACTTTTTTAACATAACTAGTGGCATCTTCTTCTGTTACAGGCTCTGCTGAGAATGCACCTCGTCGTCGCACAGGTGGCACTGATGTCGGTGGCATAGGTGATAGATCCTCCAACTCATCTGGACTTGTTGCTTGTTTGTTTGCATCTAATTTGGCTTGTTCCTAAAAAATAGAATAGAAATGAACAGAATTAGTATTTTAATGCTTTAAGCTAGCCAATAAATTGATTTATTTGCAGATAGTATTTTGATTGATTCAATAATGATCTAATAATTCCCCTTAAGCACCACAATACACATAATTCCATCTCTCCATTATAAATTCAACGGATGAATGCAACTACCCACGACTATACGCCATCGGAAGCTATTAAAACCAATATTTCCTTCGGTTTCTCGCCTCATCAATCAAAACGCAGAACAAGAAGCTCTTTATCAAATTCAATGAATGCCAAATCGGGGCTAGAAATCAATTTCGTGCATTTTTCACGATCATCAACATCCACAATGATATTCATCCTCGTAAATTAATTGCGTATTTTTGTAAATATTTTCAATGAAAAATTATTCATAGCTGTTTTAAAAAGAAGAATGCGTAAATAAATACGTGAAAGTTTGGAATGAATTTTTACAACGTAGATTCAATAAGGCTTATTAATGATTCCTATTGTAGGTTTGTCATCTATTTTGCTGGATATTTAAGGGGCCGTTCACTTATGACATCTAGGGGGGGAGGGGGGTCAGCAATCAGCAAGGATAGTTCAATAGAAATTCCATGAAATCCATTGTTCTTTTTTGAAAAATTACCGTTAATTTCGGAAGTCTTAAAGGATTTCAAGGATTTTGATTCTCAATGATGATTAATTTGCAAAAATGAGTCGATTTTTGGTGACAAAAACTTAAAAGTTAAAATAAATTAAATTTAAAAATCAAAAAGAAGCAAAAATGATTTGAAACTTATCATTAGATGCAGAAATTAGCATCAATTGATGCAAAATAATAAAAATCAAAATAAAAGATGCAATAATGTCAAAAGAGATGCAAAAGAACTTTAAGAAAGTGATTCAAATATTCAAAAGACGCTAAATTTCTAAACTTCCTCATTAATGAATCTAGTCAGTAACAAACTGAATAAAACAGATACGTGAAAAATTAGCTCCTATGACTGCTTCTTTAATCCACACAACAAAGCATACTAATTAATTAAATTTATCTTCATCGCTGATTTTATTTATTGATAAAACAATTTCAAGCAAACAAAATTAAAGAGCTTAAAAATTATTAATAAATCTACATATAGCACGTGCTATGATACGTCATATGGAAGAATATTTTCCGTCGAAATTAAAAATATATGAAAGAATCACGAGTAAATGCGGCATGAATAATAAGAAGTTAATGTCTTGTGTAAAGAGAGTTTTTTTCTGTATTTTTCAGCAGAAGGATTTTCATGCCTTTTTAACTCCTTGTTATTGCCATTTCATGTCATAACACAGTTAATGTTGAGAAGGATTAAAGTGAAAATCAAATAAAAATTTTTGCGTTAGTAAATTCAATTATTTTCGTGTTTATTGCTGGAAATACAGCAGGAATTTATGCTTTTTTCGCATGAATCCACAAATATATCTAGAATTAATTATGATTAGGAATGGGAGGTGAAATTAACAATTCAGTTCTTTAATTGTGACCCTGATTGGACAAATCTATATAATCGGTGACGTCATTGACTTATTAAACTTGGATGAGGAACGAATTCATTGAGATAAACTGAATAATTTGTTTCTCGTGGTGTCCTTCAATATTGCAAGTGATCAATCTATGTACTCAAATAATCCAGCACAAGGAAATATGTACGTTAAGGAGGTGTTACACCCCTAGCTTGACGTCACTATTGTATAAAGCCCATGTAAGAAAACTTCTCAATTCTCAACAAATGAAACTATTCACATCAGCTTCCTTTATGATAGTTACAAACTTAAAAATTCTGTGGTAAGCCTTTAACTCAAAGGAAACCGCAAAATTCCATATAGTTGTTAAATATTTCATTCAAGGTTTTATAAACATATCTGCTTTTAGTCTCAATCCCCAACAAAAATGTGCGGTTCACCATCAACTTTCAAAGCGCACATCATTTCCATGCCTGAATTTTTAATCAATCGTCTTCTACCATCTGCAAAATTTGATTAATCTCATGACACAAGTCAAAAAGTTTACGCGTGGCAAATGTCGAATATCCAAAATAATGTCAGCTATTCAAAAAAGACATTTTATTCGTACCAAGATCAGAACTCCCCAGGTGCCTTCTAATACTTTACAAGAACAAAATGTGTCGTGCGAATAATGTCTAAAATATCAATTTGATTACAGTCTTATAATAAATAATGATATCATTTGATGCATGAAGACAAGACAATAATGTCATAATAGTAATAATCTTATGATGATTGTCAATATGGATCAAGTATTTATTGTATGACAAATTTGTTTGGTCATTGATCTGTGTTGACTTTGGTGTATTGAAATATCGTGCTGTTTGCTTGACTTTTAATGGTAAATATAGTCAGCGTTTGGTGCTTAGTAGTTGTTGGCATTTGTAATATTTGTTTAAGTTTCATGTGGAGCTTTATGGCATTGATAGATACATGGCAAGCATAAGGACATATCGGAAATTAAATAATTGAATTAAACTAATTTTCAAATTGAATATTTAATTTTATGTCAGTCATTTATCCCTTTATCTCCTATAATTACCTCGATATTATTCAACTGTCACACTTAGGGGTCGTTCACTTATGACGTCCGAATTTACCGGTCATTTTTCATAAAAGAACAATGGATTTCCAGGAATTTCTATTGTTCTTTTCTTGCTGACCCCCCCCCCCCCCCCTTGGACGTCATAAGTGAACGGCCCCTTATCTATGAAGTTCAAAAGCTACAACCTACAATTTCATAGGAAGACAACCTACAATTGTTCAGGAAACTTCAATCAATAATGTTCAATCTCATTAGCAATCAAATTCATCAATTGACATAATTGACACAGCTCCTTGACGATAAAAGTCAATAGTAACGATTTAATGACTTTTTTCATGCTACATAATATTTTTATAAGCACATTTACATTTACGTATGAGCTTTTTGAGGATATTTTCTTGAGAAGTTTTTTAATATACTTATTAATTGCCTTAACTCAGTTAAGTGGCTAAGAGTATGGGTTAAGTAATTTATTCCTGCATCCCGCTATTAAACAATGTTTTCTACTTCCTAGAGCTTTTTCATAAACAGACAATAAGGAATATTATGACGAATCAAGCAAAACTTAGAGACTGTCGAGCGAATGAATGTTTCCTTATTATAACTAATCTTATTATTGCAAGACATATGATCGATCACAATTCAGTAAAGCAGCATCTTTCATCATTAATCCTGAATCTTTGCAATTTATTTATAAATATTTCAATACCGCCCACAGATGACTGATAAGAAGCTTTGTCACTCATTTCAATCTTACAGATTAAGTTTCTTGAAATAAGTGAAATGCAGAATTTTATAAAATTTCAATAATATTAAGTCCTCCCCCATAGCTCTTTAGCTTTATATTCTCATTTATAAATATCTAGAGATTCAATTTTCCAGAGACAAATAAATAGACGTGATACATGCCTCCATCATTCTTTCAGGATATAGATTAAACATTATACATAACAGCCACATAAATCAACAAACTCCCACGATGTTATTCTATGCTGTAATTTACGCATATCTATGAATGGAGATTTTTGTGTTGCTCTTGTTTACAGCATAAGAAGTAGAACAAGTCAATCTTCGAATAAAATCTATGACGTCAAATGGTGAAAAAAGGCCGATGATGTATGCTTGAGGCTACCTTAAATGTACAGCAAATATTTAACTTTCTTTCACATGCTTTGCTGTGTCTATAACATGATATAGTCTTTCGGGTATTCTCAGCTGATAGAAAAAATGCATGACTGTATGAGACTGAATTTAAATATTATAAATAATTCATTGAAAAAAGCAATAACAAATTTCATTTCATTCATTCTATTGTGCTTACGTGAAGATATTCAACAGGCTGAAATTCTTTTCCTCATAAATTATCTGTCTTATCCTCATGAATTTTGATCATTTAATTTCATTTTTGAGCCCTTAAACTATTTTCCTTTCATTTCATTTTCAGAACGTCTTGGAATGAAACGTCTTGGCTGTGAAAATATAATGAAAGTTTGCAAGTGTAAAGTAGCAGTGGAGGAGCCATCAAGGAGAGGTGGGAGGCAATGCAAGATTTTGTAAAGAACTCTAATGTCTAGAGCAGGATAGAGCCGAAATTTTCTTGAACCTCTCGACTTAACCTTAATGCCAGAGAACATAGTTTAAATATTTGCATAATATTTGGCGCCAATTTAAATTAAAATTATTTGAATCATGTTGCCTGGTGTCCTTGCTACACTCCTGCCCAATGCTACAGCATCCGAATGCTTATATACAACAAGATGAAAATCCTTACAAATAAATAAATATCCTGTTACATAAGGCATAAGCTGTGCTACGCTTCTTCTTTTTCTATAGAAAAACTTTTTCCTTCTTCTTCTTATTTCAAGGACATGAATGGAAAATGTTGGAAACAAAACTCATTTACTATTTCCTCACCTGCCTCAGAGCTTACTTTCGTGTAATAATTATTTTGTTTCATAAAGAAATTGAGTTTTGTACTCGCTTAACCGTAAAATCAGTTTCAGTATTGTTCAAAATGAGGTTTATTCAGTGAATTTCAGCGAAACAAAAAGTAGGAAATTGAATTTCAAAGCCACAAAGTTGTAGGAATTGTTTGATTATTTGGATTCTACTGATTTACGTACTTTGAGCTAAAGAAGTTTCTATGGAAATTAAAATGTGATTGCTAATGAATAAAATTGATTGTTTTTAAGTAAATTAGAGTTTATTGAAGGTTGTAACAATTTTGAGCTTGTACGGAATCTAGATTTGATTTTATTGCACGAATAGGGGTTCCTCAAGGATTCAGATCAAATGAATTAAGTGAATTATGAAAGTTTAGAGAACTTTCTCGGTAATTATTAAAAATGGGCTTCTGTTGATTGATTATAACTGAAACTTTTCCAGCTTACATTAAGGTTGCCTGTTGGT